TGGCTTGCTTGGATCTGGCCTGCAAGAAAGGGCAGCAACAGAGGGCTGCAGGGGATGGGATCCTCAGTCCTTTCTGCCACTCTCCCACCTTGTGGTTGGAAGCACTAAGCTCCAGCACTGAGGAGGAGATGGAAAATTATGATTATGCTATGGTTAGCACTGCATCGTGGATGCCTTGGCTTCCCTTAGCCTTTCCTACAGCAGTAATAGCCTTTTTCCATCAGGAATCCAAGTTCTGCTTACGTGAGCCTTACAGAGCTGGTCTGGTCCAAATCACAGAACCCCAGCTTAACAGATGTCTGCAACTTAGCAGGGCCTCTGTAGCCACTTGTGTGAACAGTCCTGGCCAGGACGTATGCCACATCATTGCCTTTTCTTGCCAGATCCTTTTTTTTTTGGTACGTTAACCCATGTTACATTTGTGGGAGGCTGGGAGCAGTGGATATGCAAGGGGTGCCCACCCTACCCGCAGGCCCTAGGGAAGCAGCAGGCACTTGAGAGAATGCCTGAGCCTTCAGAAAGGGCAAGACTTAAGGTCGTGTGAAAATCCAGTAGTAGGAAACCAGATATTCACCTTCCAGCCTTTACCTGTGCCAGAGAGAATATTGCAAAGCAGAAACAAAAAGAAACAAGAAGGGACGTGGGGAACATCAGCCTGCAGTCCAGCTCAGCCACCTGTCTGCCAGTACACTGCTTTGGGAGCAACAGAAAGGAGCCCCAGAAGGTCACATCCTTCCACCAGTGCTGCAGTGTATCTTCTCCCAACGGCCTGGTTAAAGCTGTGGCTGCTTTGGGCCAGAGGCTGAGCTGCACTTTGGTGTTCTCTCAGAGTTAATAGGAGGGTGTTGAAAGTCTGTCTTTGGCTCCGTCTAGCATTGGTAACCTTCCAGCTATTTGCTGGAGGGAGATGTGAACAGTTGAAATCAGCTGCTCCACCAGTGGTTGTCTTCCTTTGAGTCCAAGATGTACCATCACAGCCTGTCTCTTCTCTTTGCCCATGTACCTACCCCCACACAGCTGGGGAAGGTAGCAGGTCACAGATGAGCACTACCACATATGGCTGTCTTATGGGGCTGTAGCATGGCAGAGACCCTCTGCAGTTAATGTGGGACAAGCTAGCTGGGCTGCATGGGTGATGACACTTAGCTTGCCTGCAGACTTCAGGTGCACATGGCAGCCTCCATCCATATGCATGTGCAATGGAGTATGGCTTCACCAGGAGCCATACACATCTGAGAGGGGTCAGGAGGCTGCAGGAGGCCTGGATCTCTCCTCCTGGCTCTGCTCAGACAGGTAGGCTGGAAGCTGGGAACTGATGATCTTCTTGGCTCGGCAACAGTCTGTGTGGATACATCCTCCCATGGTTTCCTGGTGACTCTTCTGCAGCAGGAACTTAGGCCAACAAAGAGTTTAACATTGACTCCTCAGCCCTTCTTCCAGACCAGTGAAGTTAAACTTCACAGATGGTAAAATAGACATAATACAGTTGTTTATACCTAATAACCAAACTGTTAACATTTTTGTATTAATAATATAAGATGCTTGAAGTTTGGAGGGATGGATGAATGGACATCACACTTACAAAGGTTTGCCAAAATTTTTTACTCAGGCTTGTCTCCTAACTGCATTTATCTTCCTGTTTTCTAGTTGCATATGGTTGTGCCAAGCTTTAGCTATTGAACTGGAATTTAGTTTGGGTGTTGTCTTGCTCCTACTGGAGTTTTTGGGTGGATGGCAGGAGGTAAGGCATTTCAGTCCAAACTCTTTGGCTTTTTTTAAAAAAATTAGTCTCAAAACCCCCATATTACTAATCTCATGTTAAAAAAAAAAAGTCAGCAAAGCTTTGCTGGAAAGGTTCCTCCAAGGATCTGAAGATTTGCTCTGTGTTTTATCTGTATTATGCATTCACTGTGGGAAAGTCAAAATTTGGCCCATCAGGTTTTTAGTGTTACTCAAGATGATAGTGTGGTCATGCTCAGGAAAGTCTTGGTAGTTTTTCAGGTAAATTCCTTGAAGATGTTTCATTGACTTGGCCCTGCGGTCAGTGCATGGGAAGACGTGCCTGAGACTGATTTTCTGGCCTGGATTTGGTCTTTCCTCTTCATTTGGGAAGGTAGAAGAACAAACCAGAGGAGACATGGCCAGATGACTATTTGAACCTGAGGACTGTACCAGGGGCTTGTTTTGGCCTCCCCTGGGAGACCTCACCTCCCAAGGATTCTTGTGGGATTCTGGGCCATAGCAGGCTGGTGTGTCGGTGTCCCAGGAAGTCTAGGCTGGCCTTTCTCTTGTCAGGGAGAGGAAGGCTAGCTGCCCATAAGGAGGAGTCTAAGACAGGGTGTAAGAAGATCCCTCCGCATGGACTTGACAGAGATATCTGCTGCCAAGCTGCTCCATGGGCTCTTTCCAGCTAATGGAAAACAAGTGGCACATGTAGGACCTGATCTGTCAAGCCTGAGGTAGAGCTCTAAGAGCACACATGCAATGGTGCCCTGTCTGTCCATCTGTCTGTCTGCATCAAATCTATAGCAAGCCTGGCCTCTTAGCTCAGGCAGGTGTCTGTAGGTGACACACCATCTGTGGTGACCAGAGATGCTCCTCCAGCCTGGGGTCACGCCATGGAGAGACATCACTGTCCCTGCCAGTCTGCATTGTACAATATGCTCTGCAAGGGGAATGTTGCCACATCAATGATTTCAATAGTTTGGATTTGTTTACCATTTTCTCAAAGACCTAGCTCTTGGTTTGTTGGTGGGCGGGGAAGGATTGTTGCAGGGGATCCATCTGTCACATAAGTGTCTGCCTCTATGGAGCTGATGCGTGAAACTGGACGTTCAGTAGGCTCATCATCAAGTTTCTCCTGAAACTCGTGAACACATAGTCCTGTTGCTCTGCTTTAATTGTTCAGGGGGGACTTCACAAAGAAGGATGTCAGAAGACCTTTCCAAGGATGACTGCTGCACTCAGCTGTCACACTGCCGTGGCTGAAAACCAGGGAAGACCAGAGCATGCAGACGGAAGAACACTTCCAGGGCTCTGAAAAGAATGGGAAGCAGCCCGATATGAAGCAGCATCAGGGTGGCAGGAGATGAGTGGGTTTCTCCTCTCTGGCCCGGGTCTCACTTTCTCTGGTCCCTTGTTACAGGCAGGGATCGTGCAGGGATCCGAAGCGTGTGGCTGTGCCTAGTGCAATGGGTGCAGCAATGCAGCGTGCTCTGTGACCACGGGGGATGCACATGGATGCTCGTGGAGAAGAGGTAAAACTGCCAGCATTGCCTCAAGGAGGGACCTGCCCCAGCTGTGGCATGCGCAACCCTTGAGGAGCAATTCTCCCCAAACCCATCCCATGCAGAGCTCTGAACTCCCCATCCCACCACATCTCCCAGCTGTGGGGAGCAGGACAGAGTGGGCCAGAGCCTTGGTCCAGGATTGCTTGGGCTGTGGGACTGGTGCAAAATCAGCCAGAGATTTGGGTTCCCCTAAGGGTCTGTCCTGCTCAGACCCATGTGGATCTGTCTGTACCCAAGACATAAAAGGATGCTTGGGGGCCAGTCTCACCTCTCCTTTGCTTGTTACCCATCTGCAGAGGAGTCAACAGCAGGGAGGGGGCTGCTGACATATCTCCACAGGGTGAGGGGTTATAAGAGGAGAGGGAGATGCAGCCCAGCACTTCTTGTTACCAAGGTCTAGTGGAGCCCTGACTGGTCAAGCAATTAGTGATTTAACTAATAAGTGATTTTCCTTGCAGCTCAGCAAGTCAGAGCACCCAGGGCCCGTTGCTGATGTTTGGGTACCCTCACTTCTCAGAGGTAATGTGTAATCCCTCATTTACAGAGAGGGAAGCTAAGGCAGGGAATTTCAATATCTGCCTGAGATATGAGTTAGGAACAGAATTAAGGGGAGAACGCAGGGGTCCTGTCTGCCTGCTGCAATGGATTTAGCCATGCATCCTGTGCAGGTGAAGACAGATACTAGTTTAAAACAAAATTGGCTGTTATCATGGCTCAGCCTGAGCACCATAGAGAAGCTCCTTCTTCTGGAAGAGATAATTTCTGGTGGCACTTGATTGCACCCAAAGGGGTTACAGTGGAGGAGAGCTTGCTATGAGACTGCAGCCCATTGCTGAGGGTGGTGCTTGTAAGACTTGCAAACTTGGCATCAATGGGTATGTTTCCCAATAAGCTGCCTTTTTATCAAAAAAGCTGCTTGTCCCATTTGGTGCAATACAGCATCCTTCCCTTGCTACAGAGAGAGCACTCCAGGGTATATTCAGTAAGAACGCTTCTGCCAGAGTCTTGGCTGGCAACTTAGGACACCCTTCATCAATACTTGTGTGTCAGGAAAAGAGAAGTGCTACTCTGGCAGGCAAGAAGCTCTGCAGAAATGCGAAGTAAGCAGGGAGAATCACACAGGCTGGCACATCACAGCTGCTTAGAAGGGTTAAAAAAAAAAAAAAAAAAAGAAATCACACCTGTCTCCTATTTCTCCTATTTCTGATGGGCAGGGAATTTTTGGAAATAGCATCCCAGTAGCTATCCTGGGAAAAGCAGCCATGCTACGTTCCTGTCCCCAGCCCTGGGCACTGCCACTGCCACAGCTGGGGCACCCACAGCCTGCGTGGTCCAGGTCTCCTGTGTTTGAGGCTGGGGCTGTCCAGGGCATGTGGCAGCAGCAGCAGAGCCTGGGTGCCTGGGCCCTGATGGCTCTGATCAGATCTCTGGATCTCACTGTGCTGAGTAATGAGCACTAGTCTTTACAAAAGCAGCAAACCCCAGTATGGTCCTTCTTTGCTTTTACACAGAGGCGATGAAAGGGGAGGGGGATATTTTCCTGTGCTCTGCTTCGAAACGCCACGCTTCTGAGCTGTTATCAACAAGCTTGTGCCTTTCTGGCAGCCCTCATGGGTGCTTGTGATGTGGTTTCTTTTCCATTGTAGATAGCACCAAGCCTGAGCTGAGCGCGGGGAGGGAGCCCATAAGCGCCGAGACGAGAAGTGGAACATGAGCGGGAAGAGCCCCTTGTCGCGGTCTGCCGCACACCCCTGCGAGCTGCATTCCTCGGGCTCACAGCCCGCCACGCTGGCCTGCAGCGATGGGGACGAGCCGCCCAGCCAGGCTCCGGAGCCTGCCAGCCCCTGGGACCATGCTCAGCCTTCCCGAGGAGCAGAGGGGGAGCGTGAGGACCAGGGGGACGAACATCTGGAAGCGGTGACGGAGCTGGGGGAGAGGCAGAGTGAGCAGGGACTGGGGACAGACGTCGCCGGTGACAGTGGCCGTGAGGACGGGACGGTGCTGGCCAACGGTGTGGACGTGGGACTGGAGCAGGGAGACGGTGGCGTGCCCAGCCCAAGCAACACATGTTCTGGGGAGAGGGGCTCCCCCAGACACGAGAGATCTAGAGAGGCCCTCAGCAAGGAGCGGTTGCAAAGCATCCTGGGGTCTTCAGAAGCTCTAAGTGCTGACGAGCCAGAGGAGCAGCTCGGGTGAGTGTGAAGCCATTGTAATGTCAGCTCGGTGATGGTTCAGTGTGTGCTGTTTCTCATCCTCCTTGGTTCGAGCTACTCTGCTGCATGTGTAACTCCTTAGTTTAGAAAGCTGCAGCCGCTCTCATGGCTGACTGTGGCTTTTCACTCTTTTTCTCTCTGGGCTTCTCACGCTGCTTTTCCCTGTTACAGATGCAGAGAAGCTGCGATTAGAGGCAGTGTCTGCCCTCAGAGGCACTAAAGCAAAAGAGAAGTTTTAAGGGTCTCAAGTGCTGGGTGCTGGTTGTGCTCCCTTTGGGGGTGTCTCACTTGCAAGTTGGAGATTCAGCTGCAGCGCTTAGGGCAGTTACCCAATGTAACTTAGGACAAGAATGAGAGCCTGGGGATGATGGAGAGTGAAGTTTGGCTCAGAGGCTGTTACGCCCTGTCAACATGGCTTGCTCTGACAGTCCCTGCATTAGCAGGCTATGGCTTTATCTCCAAAGGACCAGACCATTAGTAATGGAAGGCAAGGCATGGCACTGAACTTTGCTCCTCACTGCACCTCTGGCAGGTGTTACCAGTGCCTGGGCAGCACAGGGAGAGCCATAGGAGACAGAAGATATGTCATCCTCTTCTCATCAATGGTGGGGTGTTTCCCATACCACTCCTATGGGAGGAGTATGGATGTTTCCCTTTGCCACCAGAAATCATCCAGGGGTCTGTATCATAGCCACCTGGGGCTGATGGCTGCTGTGAGTCTTACAGCACTGCCTACATACTTACCCCAGCACAGGAGAGATGCTGCAAGCAGGAAGAGACTGGAGAACAGCAGAGGTTATCACAGAGGAGTATGGCTTTCTTAAGAAGAGAAGGTACGAAAGGGACAGGGTGGCCAAGAGGGGTCTGTGAATCACCTCCTAGTTTTAGTCCAGCACAGGCTTCAGGCTGAGCTGTTTGTTTAGAGCTCTGTCTGGAGTGCTGGCAGGAGTGTCAGCAGAGCTGGGAAGCCACACAGTGTGTGGGCTGATGCCAGGCATCCCTAATTCATTGCATCTCTAGTGTTGAACAGGCTCCCCTATAAAAAGCTGGTGGTTTGTTTTACCCAAATCCCCCAGCACGAAGGAGCAGCACTGTTTCAATAAGCACAGATGAAGGTATTGAAGAGGAAGAGTGTCCAATGCAGGCTGCTGATGTCCAGAGAGATAGAGGAGTGTACCCAGGCAGGTCCTGCAAGCCCTATAAGCCCTGCAGTCAGGTCTTGGATGCCTGCAGGTCTCTCAGGATGCAAGCGAATCGTACCTGCTTGGTATGTGGCTCCCTGGCAGGGATTGTGAGTTCAAGAGGAAGCTAAGGGTGGTTGGCAAATGCTGCCACAGTCACTGGGATTGCAATTATTTTAAGGTACTAGGGCATGGATTAGGAGAAGTGGCAGGCTGAGGATTTGGAGATGATGCATCCTGACTGGGCTCTGCATGTGCAGTCCATGATCTTATGCTCTGACCATATTCACTCGGACATCAAATGAGTCTTTTGGGAAGCTGAATGATGAAGGGACAAGTCACACACTATATTCAAAGCAGAAGGACATCTGGGAAACTTCAGGGACACAGCTGACATCTGGGAAACCACTTATTTTCTAGGCATCTAGTTAGCTCACTGTGTTTGAGTCCCTTAATGCTTTGACCACTTATCTTTAGGCTAATGGAAGAAACACGTGGCTGGACCAAACACAGCATGGAGCTGGTCTTTCCTGACCGTAGCTGTCTGGCTGTCTCTCCTAGATCTATGTGGGTCAGGAATAACAAAGCTGACAGATGAACCAAGGCACCAGAAAGTCACTGTCATCCTGCGTCATCTCTGAGTTTGCCTAGTTCTTTCTTTACTCCCTTTTGGTATGTTGTTGGTTTTGTTATGACCTATTGTGGATATAGGAGAACCTGGTGTGTCTCTGTCCTAAAGTTTTACCAGTGAGCAGTCAACTATTCATTCCTGGGGAACAAATCGCTTGTCATCATCCACATGTTGCTGCTCATATAATGCACTTTCTCCCCGGATAGTAAAGTACTTTACAAGAAGATTTGCTCTTCCCACTGAACCAATGAAGATTAAAGGAGAAAAAGTAATCCAAGGACATCGACTCTATGGTGGAGACTGAGAAAATATGACTGCCCAGCTGAAGATAGGTTTGTGAGTCTATGCAGGAAATTGTTGTTATAACAATTAAGGAAATAAAGCCAAAGCTTTAGTGCTTGTCCTGCAGCTTGCATTAACAAAATCCCTTCTACCTACTTTCTAGTTTACCCTATGAATTGGCATGCCAGTGCACCATTTGTCAAAGCACCATTTTCATACCATTCTGGTTATGTTGCCGAGAGGTCTTTCAACTTCCCAGAAGCCCCTAGCAGTGGCTTTGACGTTCTCAGGGAGGTCATAGCTCTGCGGTCAAACTGAAAGCTTCACCAGTGAATTACAGTCCCTGCTTTCATCCCCATGAGCTCATGCAAAAAGGTTAAATTTTTCACAAAGAAATCCCCATCTTTGGCTTGTAGACACATGTAATACCTGCAGTTTTGGGACTGCTGCCTTTACCCACACGTGGCAACATATCAGCATTGAGCAATTCAAATTCCATTAAATAAAGTTGCAGAAAAACTTTGCAGGAAAACTGTAGCACATAGGCAAGAAAATCCTGATTTCTTATCATCTCCTTCTCTAACTGGACTCCACACTCCACCAACACGGCAAACTAGGCTGTACTTTATTGCAGCTAATTAACCAGTGAGAAGTGAAATGTAAACAACTCAGTGCATAAAACCCCACTATGGTTCAGCTGCAATAATAACCAAGGGCAATGCTCTGCACGTCTTGCTGTAAGCAATAGAACAGCATTTCCAACATGACTGGGAAAAGCAGCACAAGCAATTAGATACACTTACAAAACCTTGTGATTACAATGTGAATAAATATATGGGTCCTTATTTAAGTCAAGCAGTTGCTTTCACTGCAGTGTAGTAAGTATGTGATGCTTCTCTGTGGGGAGGCTCTATCAGGTTCATTCATACGAGAGGTCTTTCACTATATCCCACCCTAGCTTTTTTCAGGTCTTTGCTTGAACTAGATGGAGATGGTGCTCCTGGGCTGGTCTCTTTGTCCTCCGTCTTCTCCAAGATCACGCAAGAAAAGATGTGATGTTTCTGGCTTGTTGGTGTCTACTGACTCCCCACAGGACCATGGCTCCTGCCCTGGGATCTGCAGTCTGTCCCACGCAGCCTTTGCTGGGGCATTTGTAGGGACACAGACTTTCTCAGTTTGTTGCCTGCTGTACAAGTTTGAGCTCAAGGGATAAATGAAAGTCTAGAAAATATAAGCTCTGTCTTGTGAACAGTTAACGGAAATTTTTCTGTTCAGCGTGGCAAGAGACTGTGAGCTGTCTGGCTTGGGACGGTGGGAACGTGGGACCTGCTAAGCAATATCTAGGAGGTGCAGGGCAGGGCATACCCTCCTGCGTGGGTGCTCCTGCACAAAGACATGATGCTGATGGGGGTGGTGATGCAAGCCAAGGGCTGGTGTGATGGCTTCCTCGGGGGACCTGGGGAAACCACAAAAGCTCAAGGACTTTCCTTTGTGTGGTGAGGATACAGACCCAGAGCTGTAGAGGAGGCTAAGACTGCAGATCATCTGTAGAGGAGAGGACATGGAAGTTCACTGGGCATGGGAGTTCTCATTAGAAGTTTGGCAATGGGACGAGCTGCCAAGGCAGGTCTGTAATTCCTGCCACCGTGGATAAATAAGGCTGTAAAGTCCTTCCTGTCACAAGGGGATGAAGTTTTTTAAGTTCCTCCTGCTTTGTTGAAGGAGATCTTTTCTGCACACAAAGCCAGGCACTACAGTTCATCCTGCAGGGATAGAGGGGTTTGTGAAGACAAACAAGCCTGAGGATGAGGGCTCTGGGCTGGAGCTCCTGCTGTGTGTCTCATTTCTGCTTATGTCTGGTTTGCTGCACAGCCAGCTCTGATGAACTGAGTGACGGTTTTCTTAAGCCCTGAGCTCCTGGAATCAAGGGATTACATGAGTCTACAGATTCATGTAAGCTTTTACCCATGTGCTTGCAGAGCTAGGTTTGAAAATAGCAACTCCCATGGCTCAGACATCAGAGGGGACTTTCAAAGGATACAAAAACTGACTTGTCAGGGCCCATCAAGTCTCATGAATGTAGCATAAGCCACGCATAGTTGTTTTCCTTCTCGCACAGCTCTTCAGGTGGGCCTGTTCTGCTCCCTACTGTGCTGGAACCCCCTATTCCTGCCACAGCTCACCAGCCTGCTGGCCTGGCATCCAGTATCAGATAGAAGGGAAAGTAGTGTGGCATAGTCACTTCATGGGACCTTGACCTGCTTGGGTTCCTCAGACTCTTGGAACACTGATAAATAAGAAACCTGAGAGAACTTATCAGTCCTCTCCTCTTCAAAGGCACTCACCCTGGCACGTTACAAGTAGGAAAATTTACCTTTGTTCTAATCCTCCCTCAAGTGCACTTTTTTTTTGCAAGATGGGAAATAAGAAGTATGCCAGCTGACTTGTGCCCACATCTCACTGCCACAATGAGGCACCTCTGTCATTGTAGTCTTCCCTCGTTACACTGGTTTTCTCTTAGTTGTCCAGAGTATCCCTTCTCATGCTATGACTGCCTTTGGTGGTTGTGGATTTCTGAGGTGAGGCCATCTCTGCTAGGCAGGTACTTCCTATCCTGTAGGCTTGAGCCCTTAAACACAGTGGCTGTAGCAAACAAGGGTGATAACTTTGAGGACTTTGATATGTGAAGGAATACCAGGTCCCATATTGCACTGGAATTAGTGCTCATGTAAAAGCTGAGTTCCTGCTGCCCATGTTGAGAAGGGTGTTGGAGGATGACTGCTCAGGCATGGTGTATCTTGTGCTGCCCATGAAAACCATCTGCTCCACAAAAATGATGATGATGACAGTGGTTCCCAGATGGGTATGTTATCATCCATGGCAAGGTTGTGCATTCCCTAGTTAGGGTCACTGTGTCCTGAAGTGGCTAGCCATCTTCCACCCTGCCTGAAGCATTTTGAAGGGCTAGGGTTTCCAGGCATAGGTGACGTTGCATCAGCATATCTGGGCCAGTAAATTCAGGGGCTTATTATCTGCTGTCTGCTGAAAAGGCAGACTTCCCTCTTTGCTACCTGCTGAGCTGTGCAGTGGAAATACAGGCAAATACCTCCCACCTTGAGAGAAGAAACTGTCCAACCCAGACCCCTTAATGGTCCAAGTAGACCTGGTTTCAGGGCTCCACTGAGCATCGGCCCAAGCACAGCAGTGATGTTCAGGGGTCTGTCTCCACCATGAAACCAGGGAGCCTGTCTCTGTTGGACAAAATGGTCTGAACATCTCTGGATCAGGGCATCTGTAAGCTGCAAATAGCTGGAGCTGGAAACATGCAGCTGGCTGTGGGAGCTGTCAGGGGGTGGTCGCTTTGCTTTCCCTTTTTTTCTGCTGTTTGCTGGTGGAGATGGGATACATTTTCCCTACTTTTGCTAAAAGGAATTCCACGGGATGTGGTGCATGCTTCAATTTCCCCACCTAAAAAGACTTGAACTGTTTTGTGAAGTGCACTGAGTAGTGTTTAGACTCCTAGAAGACACTCTCATGGCTATGCCATGCCTGGCTTACAAGTGCTTTACTGCCTCTGTGCTAGAGCCACCAACGTGCATGTCCAATCTCCTCTGTGCCAGATGATGTGCAAGGCAGGGAGTGGGCTGTCACTGATGTTCTGTAGGAAACATTGCTAACAGTAGCTGGGTTTGGGCACGTACAGGTACAGCATCTTGGAAGCTAGCTCATCCCTGATCCACCCCCAGAATTCAACCCAGGGAAACGTATCCTGCTGCAAAGCGAGGCTATGCTCACTAGCAGGGGCACTGGGCAGAGATATGGCACTTATACATGGCTGCCAACCTGAGGCAACCGTGGCGAGGAGGTTCACTGCATTGACTTCAACCAGCAACCAAGTGCCTAGTCAGCAACTTGCTCACCACCATCTCTTGTGGGGTGGGGGAGAGAATCAGAGAACAAAAGAGAGCAGGGTTGTGAGTCAAGGTAAAAGCATAATAAGTGAAGAAAAAAGAAAAAAAAAAAAAGAAAAAAGCAATCACTGACCCTTGCCCCCCAACAGATCAATGCCAGCCAGTCTCTGAGCAGTGGCTGCTTCAAAAGACCAAATTTTTCCAGCTTTTTTTTTTTTTTTTTTTCCCCTGAGAGTGACTTTATAAGGCATGGAATGCCCCATTGGTCAATGCAGGTCAGTGGAAGGAAGGCGGTGAAGGAATTGTGGAGGCAGGTTTCACCTGAGACCCCTGGGGTGTTTCACACAAGTTTTTGCAGCCTGATCTGTTCCAGGAGGGACAGAGCCCTCCCAGCTGCCAGGGCTCTGAGCACAGCGGGTGTTGCTGGATTTGACTCAGATTAAATCTCCCAGCATGAGTTCACAATGAGATGTACACTGGAATGAATGCCCCTGCATTCAAAGCCCAGCAGAGCTTGGATTGCTGGGAGTCATCCATGCTTATCTGGAAGCTAGGCTTGTAGGTTCATGCATTTCACAGCCTTTAACGCTATGCCTAAATCCCACAGGCTAGCTGTAAAGCAGCATGGAGCCTCCCCTGAATGGCGGTGTGTCTGTCACCTTTTACATCCCTCTCAGTGGTGAGAAAACTTTTTGTAGGGTGCCTTGCACTTCTGGGGTGCCTCATGTTATAGAAAAGGTTTAAGTTACAACATATGAATTGCTCCCTAAAAGCTTCTGTCATTTCTCTGCTGTAAAAAGGGATCAAGGACGTTTGCTGCCAACATCCAAAGTTAGATGAAATGGCCTCAATCTTAAGGATTTTCATGCTTTTGAAGTAGCCATAATTGGAGCACTTGGAAGAAGGGAGATAACCTGTAGATTAAATCTTTTCTGGCAGTGGATCCAGTAGCAGATGTCAGGTGCAAATATCTCCAGTTCAGATGTCTGTCTTTTTACTGGGGCATGAACAAAGTAAGGGTTGGCTGGGCCCCTGGGACTGCTTATCATAAAACTCTGCCTTTTTCAGCTCTAGAAGCTTGTAACACAATTGAGAACCAAACAAGTTATACCACAGAAAGGTCCCAAGAGCCTATAATCACATCATCCATTTCTGCCTCTTCTCTTGCCTCCTATCTCCAAGTGGAGCAGTGCAAGCAATTACCTTGACAGTATTTTCTACATTTCTTCTTTTGGTCCAGATTTGCTTCTGGAGATGCCGAGCTGAGCTGCAGTGCGGATGACAAGGAACATTTTCAATTCAAAGACATCAGGGATGGGTTCAGCTCGACCTTTGAGAAGATCGTTGAGTCTGACCTTATGAAGGGTACATACTACAGCAGCTTGGACTCTTTGGACGTCCTCTCTCTGACAGATGAGACAGACAGCTGTGTCAGTTTTGAGGCCCCACTCACCCCACTGATCCAGCAAAGGGTCAAGGAAAGCCCGGAGCTCTTGGAGCAGAAACTAGTAGCCCAGCAGAGAGAAGCCCTTCACCACATGGCAGCTGATAAACAAGAGCAGGCAGCAGAAAAGCCAGCAGAGGGAGATTTTGGGAGCCCTCTTAGGCATTCAATTACCAGCAGCAGGTCAGAGAATGTGCTGAGCCGGTTGTCCTTGAAGAGTATCCCAAATGGGTTCCACGTGGAAGGATCAGAGGAAGATGCCACCAAGATCATTAACTCCATCAGGTAAGACAGGCTGGGAATTCCATGGGTAAACCCTCCTTGTTTTATGGCGTCTCAGTCCAGGAGCAAGGCTCAGAGGATGTCATACAGATGGAGCTGCTTTTTTCCCCTTGTGCTTTCTCTCATGTACTGTCATGGCAGAGAGGCCAAACACCAACAGGAAAAACTTTCCTACCTGTAGGTTAGGACTACAGCTGGGGACCAAGGTCCCCTGGCATTAAACTAGTCAGTTCCCAGCAGGCCTGTGTCTGAGTATTCCTTGTTCTTAAGCTCAGGATCCCAGGCTGCAGGTGAGCTGCAGGGTCCTCTAGGAGCTCTGTGAGCCCAAGAGAAGCCAAAGTTCAGCACTCTATGTTCACTTTTGCCCTGGAGAGCATCACCATTCATTTGGCTGCTCACAACTCCTGTCTCTTCTTACAGCAGATGAAGCTGGGGGTCCTCTGAGTAGATCATTGCCTCATCTGCCTAACATCTGCAAAAGCCCTTGGCAGCTTGGAGGCAGTCAAACACACTCCCAAACATGCTCTGAAGTGCAGGGGAACCTCGAAGTCTTTCTTAGGACTGGGTGTCCCTGTAGAGGCCTTTCCAAAGGTTCTTCTGCAGGCAGTGAGGAGATCAGCAGAGACTTCATCCTCTGGACCCACTCAGACCCAAACCATCACCTTTGGGAGGCAGCAGCTCATCTGCAGGGCACTTCTCTGCATGAGGAAACCAGGTAATGAGCAGCCAGGTCATGGGAGAGCTGGAGCGAGGCCTTACGTCCAGCTAGCTATCAGGCCTTCGGTTAGTCACACTGCCCAAAAAAGGTGTGAATAGGTGTCATAACTGGCCTTGGCAAAGAAACTAAAGGTTTGCAGCCCCATCTACATGGTGCCAGTAGGGCTGCTCAGCACGTTGTCTGTGGGAATGACGGTAGGTCTGGTGCCAGTCTCATTGGGATGATTTGTACAAGCATAGTTTCTCATCCTCGGCAAAGAATCTGAACTGAATAGCACACCCTCTATGCTTAAGATCTCATAAATGTCCACACCTCTGAAACCCTTGGTATCCCTTTCCATACCAGTGGAGAGAGAAAAAGCTTTAAAAGGTGTTGGGGCTGCTTGCTTTGAACGGATATGTCCTCATTTCTCAGGGAGGAGTCACCTTCTCTTCAATCTTTTTCTACAAGTTTGAAATTCAATTGTACTATTTAATTTGACCTGAAATGAAAGAGGGCTTGTCTAATGTCCAGTTCCCAAATTTATTGTTTTTTCCTATTTCTTGGTCAGGACAAGAAAAAATTAAAACATGGCATTTTCTGTTGTATTCGTCAAGCTGCGTGGCTGCTCCTTGAATTGTTTTGTTTCCGTATAGTGACGCCAGCTTGAAAGACACTCTGTCAGACTCTGACTCCGACATGGGCAGCACGGAGCAGCTCAACCAGGGCAGCACAGACACCTTGGCAAACGGCTGCAGGGCAGATAGCGAGGCTGCCAAGAGGCTGGCCAAGCGCCTCTACAACCTCGAAGGGTTCAAGCGCTGTGACGTGGCGCGCCAGCTCGGGAAAAAGTAAGTGAGGCTTTGGGTTGCAGCCAGCCCTGCGAGGGGCTTGATGGAGACGGCAGCGTTGAGCACGGCCAGCAGAAGCACAGCGGTGGTGGGGAGGGCTTGGGGGAGCATTGGTCGTGTTGGGTGCATCGGGCAAAGGCAGGAAGGGACACAGTTGCTGTTACAAAGGCTTGCTGGGTGGAGTTGGGGCTGTTGGAGATCCCTCTGTTTGAAATTGGTCCAAGACCAATGCCCTTGAAATCTGAATCCTACAAGACGCCTGCATGTATTGGGCATTAACTACCACAAGCTGCTACCCACCAGAACCAAATGTTTCATGTGCTTAGTAAGGGCCCAGCAAGACCCCCCTCTAAAGCAATCCCCAGGCCAAAGGGTTTGGGATCCAGACATGGATCTGTCCTGGGCTCTCTACCAATCCCCAAGTTTTTCATGTCTGCACCCCAAAATCTTCTTGCTGCAGTGCCTCTTGATCCAGTCTCCGCAGGTGGCAAGAAGGCTTTGATGGAGAGCCAGGTACACACTGGAGGTCCAAGCATCTCAGTAGATTTGCCTGGGTAAGGCAGAAGAGAAAGAAAAAGTTTTTTTTCAAAAGTGGGAGAGTTACAGAGATTTCTAAGAGACAAAGGAACAGTAACGAGTATAGCAGTAACAGATTATTTTAGGATGCCAGTGGGTGTGAGGACACCAATTCCCATCATCCTTCTCCTAGAACTGATATAATCTATGTTGCTGGGGTGGTTTTTTTTATGTCCTTGAAATGTGTCACTCCGGCCCAGAACAGCAGAACGCAGTTGTCTCTCAGCAGATACCCAAACTTTCAGTACCAAGGATCGTCTGTGACTCCCAGCTTAGTCTTGGGACAGAAGGAGCATACGAATGATCTCCTAGACAGGCTCTTTGTATCACTTGGCAGTATCCCCATGCTCCCTTTTTGCTGTGATTCTTGTAGTAGGTGCATTGCTGGCAGATGCTGGCTCAGTTCTAACATCCTTTCTTGCAAACTAAGTGAGGGAAGTTTTAAGCAATGAATCCCTGGGGTTGAATTTGGGTATGTCCCTTTGGTAGTTCCTGCAATCCTCACACCTTAGTAAGCTGTTTGGTGACCCATGTTTGAGAATTGAATTGACACAACCTTTGAAAGAAAACTTTTGTTTTGATCAGCTGGGTTTTTGAAATCTGAATCGTTTCCCACCAGAAGACCTGAATAGAGGTGCAGACTCTTGGACCAAGCCTGTGAATTAGAAGAGCAGGAAAGGAAGGATGAGGATAGGTGTGGTTTAAGTTGGTCTTGCTCACTTAAGACAATGTAAAACTAATCTACAGTGGTGGGAGCAGGGTAAGTTTAAGTGGTGTTTTCAGGCCAGTTTCATGTAGGACGTGGGATGGCTAGGAGGGCTGTGCAAGAAGTAATACTTCGTTTTAAAGCTTTTTAGATCATTTTAAGCCCTTTTTGTCTTCATGAACATTGGCAATTTTCTCAAAAAACAAACAAACAAAAAACCAAAGGACCAAACCAAACCCCAGAACATTCACCATTACCAAACAAATAGAAAAGGCTTGATGAACAAGAAAATGCAAGTTGAATATCTCCAAAAAATTTCCTTCCCATTGACACAATTCTGTGAAATTAATCTCAAACCCAGAAATGACCTTTGTCTCTCTGAAGACCGTGTGTTTTGGGAACTGAACTCTCCATGGAAGAGGCTTGTTCCTGCACTGGTTTGTGCATTGTCTTGTCTCCATCACTACTCATGGTCACACATCTTTTGCTGGATGGAGGCAGAAGTATCTCAGCTGCAAGACCATGAAGACAGGAGTGCTAGATACTTTCTTGTAGGGTTTCCCAACTGAGCACTGTGCTCACAAAACCACGCAGACAGCAATGGAGCAGAGAGCAGAGCACAGTGTCAGCATCACAGTGCACTGAGAACTGGGGGTCTGGCAGTGTATTGTCCTCTGGAGATCAGGAGAATTTTGCTTAGCCAAACTTCTTATGGACAATCTTTTTTTGGTCCAGGTGACTGTAGCACAAAAAGGATCTTGGACGATACCAGCTTAGCGCTGTAAGACAGTGTGATCAGGCTGCAAAACAACAAAGGAGGGACCTTTCCATGTCCCTCCACTCAGAAATTAAACTGTGAGGACAGGCCAGGGCTCCCGTGTTATTCCCAGGGTGGCTGTGACCCATCAAGGTCAGTCAGCACTCATGGTACCTGGACCTTCCCAAGTCAGGAAGAGGGAAGAAACTTCAAGGTGGGGTGTAAGGTGAGAGGAGGTCTGTAGAGAATGTCTGTGTGAAGGAGCTACCAGCCAGAGGATGCCAGACAGGTCCATGTGGGAAATGCCTCACTGTTCTTGTAGGGATATCTCTGTCATATCTGAGCTGCATGGTGGAAGTGTCACCCATTCCTGCAGGAGGGGTTGGGACTAGCACAGAGAGTAAGACAATTCCTGAATGAGAAAACCGAGCAAACACTTAAGCCCACCTTAGTGTAGGCCATGGTCTTGCCCTGGCCAGTGTTGGAGTTCTGTGTCCCAGGGGCATGTTAACTGGCTCTGGAGCTCAACGATAAGGGTCCCATCAATGTCACTCAGCCCCCAGCTAGACAAAGGAGTTTATTGTTTCCAAGGGTCTGGCTGCCCTCAGGTGTCTGGTTCCTTCAGCAGAGCTGGCAGTCCTTGTCTGGAGCTTTTTCGAGCAGCGAGAGCCCAAGTTAAGCACACAGGAAGGTGTGATGGGCATCCAGGCTGAGCACTTCTGGCACCACAGCAGGTGGCACGGCTTACTTGTGCTAGAGGTCACAAATTCCCCATGGACTCCTAGCCTTCAGCAAGGCACAGTGAGCTGAGGGACAGGCAGCAAGGCTTGCCTGCCTTCCTGGGCCATCCTGGTATGTGAGTGTGGGGAAGAGGAGCTCCCACTCACCTTAATCCTGACTGAGAATAGATCTAGTTAGAAATGTAAACTAGGGTGTAGCTCCCAATGTAGGCCATGGAGACATCTCAAGACCTATTCAGCCTACCCTATATCTGTGCTGGGCTATAGAGATACCAAATCTTTTGGCTTTAGTGAGCCTTGAGCAGGGCCAGTGCTTCAAGCCCAGCTTGAGGTTAAGTGGACGGGGTCAGACACTGCTCTCCCCTGTTGATCGCTGCAGTGCTGCAGTACATAGCAGTTGTTACTGCGTGCTCAGTGCCCAAGCCAGTTCCCAGGACGTGGGGTGACTAGTTGCCCAACCAGAAGGAAACAGATTTTTTTTTCTGAGAGGCTGCAACTGCACTTGTGAAGTGGGACCTAGCTCATGGGAAGGAAAGCACTGGCTATTTCCTGGCACTGACACTGCCAATGCATGAGGTCTTCTTCAGACTTATAGCTGAGATGATCCCAGAGGAGACCTGGGGCTTGCTTGCTTCTGCTCATTCTTTGGCACAGGGGTGAAGAAGTGGTGACATCGCCTTTCACAAACATCTGGTTATCTTCTGCATCTCACATCACCTTGCTGTGAAGTTCCAGGAGAAGTGGAGAAGTCTCCCTGGGAAGCTGGCAGGAATCTGCATGCCAATCACTGCGGCACTGCTTCAGACAGACTAAGCCTGGAGGCCACAGGCCCACGAGGACATCTCCTTTCCTAGAGCTAGCAAGCCCAAATGATAAGATTGTTTTCAGTCTATGAGGCCTTGTGGCTTCATATGGCTTTGAAACAGTCTCTTGCACAAACTCCAGCACAAATACTTATGTCCTGTCACTCGAAACTCAGCCTGGACCTCTCCTCTGGAGCTGTCACACTCCTGCTGCGTGTTGTGCTTCTGAACAGCACCCATACTAGAGGCTTTACAGCACCCACCTCACAGCAGATGACACAATGCTGTAGGAAAAGCAATGAGTTCTGTCTTTAGCATACCCCAGCATGAAGCTGGATATGCAAATGTTTAGCAATATGCTTTTCATTTTGTGGGGAGAAGGAAAAGGAATTGTATATGGCAAAGGCTGAGCATATTGAGATCATGTCCCATTTCTTGCCAGCTTTCATGGATTATTCTTGCACTTCTACTACCTGAGTTGTGTAGAGAAGAACTTGACAGCACCCATTCTGGCTCTAAAGGCAACATGTCTCCAAAAACATGGCAGGGGAATGGCTTATGGAGAAGCATTCAGGCATGAGCAGGGCCAGGAGCTTGGCTGAGCTCTCCTGCTCCAGTTCCCAGTGGAACCCATCTGACATGTGAACAAGGTGCTGGTGGTGACAGGGTGGGATGGGAGCCAACATGAAGTGAAAAGCAGGAGTATTGTAGTAAGAGGAGGGGACACGATGGGAGAGTACTAGGTAAGAAATAAGGTGCTCGACAAGCACAGGACATCCTTATGGCCTCCTCCTCCTCCTGGCTGGTGTGGGAGGAGGCTCTGCCTGGGCAGCAGCACAACAGAAAGGTGCAGTGGGGGAAGGCATCTCTCGTTCTTGGGTGTCCAGTGCTGGCTGCCACAATGCTAGGCTGTGGGCATGTTAGGGCCCTTTGAAGGTCTTCCAGAAGCATTTCAAGGTAGGAGGAAATCCCCCTGGGTCTCAGATCACGTCTGCAGTGTCTCACTGGGAGTTGGGCTGGCCAGGAGACAGAAGTCTGCTGTTCCTCTTGTAGACAGTGTCTTCTTCCCTGATGAAAGGGCTGACTACTCCCTCTTTAATTACAGTAACGAATTTAGCAAGTTGGTAGCAGAGGAGTATCTCAGCTTCTTTGACTTCACTGGCCTGACCCTTGACAAAGCACTCAGGTGAGCTGGTCTCTGGCACTCCCGCGTAGGGCCTGGGCTGGACAGAGCGGAGCAGCGCGGTGGGTTTCTCCTCCAGGCTTCCCGATGACATGGAGGCTGTCCATGTGATAGGAGCAGGGACCGGGGGGAGCTCCAGGTTGTCGTTTAATCTTTGCTTTGGTGTCGTGTTTGGCACAAGATTCTGCCAACAAACGTGGGCTTCAGCAGGCGGGCCCACAACCTGCTTCCCCATGGTGGAAAGCAGCTTTCCCAGGAACTCCATCCCATACAAAATCAGAGCAAGTGGAAGCAACTTCTTCCCTTGGGACAGACAACCCATCCTGGTGCCATCAAGCCAGAAATGGGTCAGATCTCAGCTGACAGCATGTGTCCTTATGCAGCTCAGAGCTGACACCCTTTGCATTGCACCTGCAGGGGCCCGGGCGTGCACAGGCTGGGGGGGAGGACAAAGACCTTCCTAGCTGCGCTGAGGACCCCCTTTCCATCTCTTTCCTTAGCATGGACACTGTCCAGCAGATTGATCCGTGACATCGTGTAAATATCACTTCTTCTCTTTGCAGGACATTCTTGAAAGCGTTCCCGCTGATGGGAGAGACACAGGAGCGGGAGCGGGTGCTGATCCATTTCTCCCGGCGGTACTGCCAGTGCAACCCAGAAGAGAGCACGTCCGAAGGTACCGCCTGCTTCCCTTGGCTCCAGCGTCCACTGCGCCCTCCTGGTGCACGTGTCACACAGCTCGAGTGTAAACCCGACCATCCAGAGCTAGGCCTGAGTAGCACCCACTGGGCAGGCAAGGCTGTAGCTTCTCCCTTTCTCTAGGATCATGCCCGGTTGATTATCCTTGCCCTGGGAGGGACAGGGGACACCATGTGCCAAGAGAGCCCAACCAGGAGCTGAGTGTCTGAGTGTGTCTCCTTCAGTGCGCATGAGCCGTGCTGAAGAGCGGCTCCTCAGCTGTAGCCTGGATCAGTGTTTGTGCTTTGCCCAGCACCAGGGGAGGTGGTGAGGCGTTCTCAGGGGTTGCAAATTACTGCAATAGTGGCTTGCAAAGTGGTTGCTGGCAGTGGGCAAATGAGTGGGTGCTGCTACCTCAGACCAAGACCTTGTCCACTGAACGGATGAACACACTTCCATGCTGTTGGAATGCTGTTGGCTTGCCACACGCAGGAGTTGCATCCCTTGCATCTACAACCACAGCAGAAGAGAGCATAGCTGGATAGAAGCTGGGTAGAATTCTAGGCTCACTGGAGTTGCAGAATTTGTTAACTGCTTTCAGATCCTCTCCACTACATTTTATTTTATTTTATTTTATTTTATTTTACATTTTAAAATGGAAAAGGTCATTCCTGGTACACATGTGCACATACACACATCCAGACATGAGCATGCCCTCATTTGCATCAACATACCTGCTTACAGGCATCTGGGAATGTCCCTTGGGTGGAAAGGGACATCAGCCATCAGGCTGACGACCTACTCTCAGCTAGCACCATGGCAGTGCCAGTCATTCCTCCTCCACTCCCTTCTGAATGGAATATGCCAGTTGTGCTTGAGAGCTCCTGCTTGTCCCCACCTTGCAGGCTTCCCAAAGGGAAGCAGTGCCTAGTGTCACATGAACCCTTTAGTCCTTCTGCCAAGACAATTGGACATATGATATATTCTCAAAATGGAATGACCTCTTTGTTATTATCAGTGGTAACCCAATAAATTATAGGTTTAGATTTCGGTTCCCTGTGTTTGTGTGATGCTCTCCCTCACTGATCCAAAGTCAACCTTCCCTGGGAAGGGTCTTCCACCTATAGACATTAAGTTACAGGCTGAGTTTTCAACAGCAGTCCTCAGCTAAAATATCCCAAAAGCCAAGTCCTGACCCCTTTTCAACACTTCCCCATGGAAGTGATCCCCAATTCTACTGCATCCACCTCCCACTCCTACAGACAAAGGCCTTGGGGCCCTTTCTCCCCTTCTGGTCCTCAGGTGTCAAATCCACTGGAGGTGGATACGTGAAAACACCAGCTTGAGCAGAGGCTGAGCTGGAGCACAGGGGGTCAGGGCTTTGACTCCATCCCACACCCTTCAGTGTGAGGGTGTTTTGAAGGCAGTGACTAGTCAAACGAAACACAAGCTTTACCATCTGGCAGCCTGGCTTACAAAGCTACTGATGGAGCCACACTAACCTCAGCTGTACAGAAGAGGAATTAGATCCCAGTTCTGAACACTTTGCGAGAAGGTGCATGTTACTGCAAACACAAATGAAACCAGAAATTTTGACTCTTCCATAGCAATGTGACCCTCAGTGGAGATGTCACTGCTGCTAGTAGGACCTGTTTTGAAAATGTTGTGCTCCTAAAAGATGCAAAACTATTAAGAATAAAGAAAACTGGATCTGAAACGTTACAGCTGCTGCTGTCATGACCTTTTCATCAACATTTAGGGCCACAGTATTGCCTGTGATGGCGGCAGCACCTTTCGTAAGGCTGGGGGGGACCACTTTCTTCAGAGCTGCACTCAGTGCCGGGCCTTGAAAAATGCCGTTGTAATCCAGGTACTACTTGAAGGTGATGCAACAGAGGGAAACAAAGCAGCTTCTTCAGATCAGATCTTTTGCAGACTTTGCAAAAGCATGCACTAGGTGCCTGGTGATTTGGGAAAGGTATTGCAAGCTCTTTCTTCAGGAAGCAAATTCCTTTAAGCTGATTGCATCCAGCTTAAACTTGCAAAGGATGTTCCACCAAGATTAGATTTGAGCCACTGTCTATTATCTATATTTGTAAAGAAATACCTCCATCTGTGGTGGTCTGTTGGCTTAGAGGCATGATAGAGTCAAGGCAGTTTTGTCTGGAGATGATCAGGCAGCTGAGTAGTTCTCAGAGCCCCCTAAGACATTTCAGGGTGTTGCTACATACTGAAGCATTAACTCCTGCAGTGGTGGAGATGTGGCTGTTGTAACACCAAGGGCCACTTCAGCTTTGCATATTGGGATGCTGCAGACAAAGGTGGCAGAAGCTCTGACTTGCTGTCCATTCGGTGGCATGGCTGTTTTTTCTCCCAGTGTGATGTCTTGGACCCATCATTAGTGCTTTCCTGCGCTGATGAAGCCCAGAGATGGAAGAACAATATGGTTGTGTTGTGATACCATGTGAGCTGAGAGAAAAAGTGAATGATAACTGATCCAAGGAACTGGGAAAGAATGGCATGTTTTGAGACACCAGCTCCACCTTGGGGCCATATGGGACATGATTTACCTGACTGAAGTGATACCACTGAAGTCAGGTGAAGATTTCAGCCCAGAGTCCCCCACAGAGACCCAAAAACACACACTGGAAAGGCACATAGTGCTAAGCCCAAAAGTGCTTCTTGTGAAAGTTAAGGAAGCATCTTTCTTAGGAAGCGGTTCTCTCTTGAAGAGGAAAATCCTTCATACCATGTCCCCAGGACTGTCAGGCCTAATAGCAAAATACATGGTGGTCCCATGAGAAATCCTTCCTTCCTCAGACCACATTTCTTACAGGAAAGGTAGAAGTTCATGTGAACCCAGCTTTCATCCTGGGCTTGTCTGTTTGGTCACATTCAGCTGGCAGTGTTTAGAGCTTGGCCTTGAGCGTGGGGTGCTCAGGGCTTGGCAGTCACAAATGGTGCCTTTGTTTAGTGGCTGACTGGGATGGGGACAGGCCACAGTTGGCTCTCTGTTGCCTCACAACTACCCTCACAAGATGAGACTAGTGACACTTCTCCAGCCAGGCCTGGGGGTATGTCACGGCCTGAGTCTAGGGCACAAATTCAGGGGCATCATGTCACGTCTGGCTCAGCCCATACGTGTGAACACACCAAGTCATGCCAGAAGCAGGGCCAGTGGGCTGTAGTATTTCTGCCCCTGCCTCTTCCCTGGTGCTCACCTTTGGTGAGGTCCTTCAGGGACAAGTTGATGTGCCAGAATACGTTTGCATCTCATCCTTGTGAGGTGATGTGTGGAGACTAGCCTCTTGACCTTGAACAGCTTCAGTACACAGCATGGTTTTGAAATAACAGCAAGCCACCAGGCTACCTAGTACAGAAAAGGGTTCTGTGCTGTCTCAGACTGAAGGAAAACTTCATGTGAGTCATTATTAAGTCAGAGGGCCAAAAACGTTGCACTCACTTGTAGCAATAGAGTTTGCTGAACAACTCAAGAGCTTATAGATTGCCCGGGATGGATGACTGAAGAGCCTGGGACAAACCCCTGAGGTGACTTATCAACTTGGGGCAATAAGCTTTGTTTACCAGGGTCTCTGCCCATTTCTACAATGGCATTGTGACAAAATGCATATGGAAGAAGACTGCAGAAAATCTGGTCTTTAGAAAGCCATTGACAAAACTGATTTAAAGCAAATTCCTTGGGGACCATTTCAGGAAAAGGTAAAGTTTGAGGCAAAAGTTTATATATTTTTATTTTTATTATTATTTTTTTTTTAACTATCTCATGCAGTTGTAGGAAACATTCTCTAAGGTCCCCAGACATAGCAACTAGCCTTGGTTTTTGCAATGGTCTGCCAAAATAACCAACACTGACACTGCATGGGAAGGGGAGTAATCAAATCCCTCTGCCTGTTGTGTGTTTCAGATGGGATTCATACACTCACCTGTGCGCTGATGCTGCTAAACACAGACCTTCATGGCCATGTAAGTAGTGCTTGGAGATGAATCCTGCCTTTTTTCCTTTCCCAGTACAGGGGTCTGTCCCCTTACGCAGGATGTATTGCTGGAAAACTGAGACAGGTTGGCAGAGAGTACTCTGACCAGCTCCAGGAAGATTTGGGACAGTCCTTAATGTGACTCTACACTCCAGGCAAAGGCATATCTCCTGCTTACAGCAGTCACCTCATACAGGCACAGAAAATGCAGGTTTCTTTCCAGGACCTGTTGCTTGCACCAGCCCTGTCCCAGGAGCTCTCAGGGAGAGGTCTGCACCACCAGTCCCTGTGGGGCTGGCAAACAACAGCACAAATGGTGCTGCTATTTCTTGTCCTGCAGACACTCAAGTCCCCGCAGCCCTCATGCTGCAAGGGACTGAGTGCTTTCATACAGGTCTAATTTTGAGCTTTCCTTCCCAAAACATGAAGTAAGTCCCAGCTCTTCCTTTTCCTCAAGATGTAACAGGCAGCCAGTGGAGAGTATCATATCAGAGAGGCCTCTGGACAAAGAGCAGGGTGAGCAAGGGCTCAGTGCCCAATGGTGTGACTGCAAAACAACAGAGGTTGTAAGAAGATGTCTCACCACCTTTTAGAGGCTTTCAGGTGGCATAGCTTGCATTTGTTCTTAGAAGATCAATCAGAGTGTAGAGAGAAGAATAGAATGGGAGAAAAATAACTACAGAGGGTATATGGAACTGGACATAGGGGACAGCACCGGGACATTGTGTGCGCTTGGGGACCTGCTATAGGATACATCTGGGAATATGCATGGACTCTGTGTCCTGCTCTGTGCTGTGGAAGGCTGTAAGCACTGTTGACCCAGATCTCCTCCCTGCTCTCCAGCCTTAAGGTGCAGGCGTAGAGCATGGCTATGAGCCTCAGAGGGTTGTGCCCCCTCTCCAGAGGTAGAGGGGCTCCTCAAGTTTCAGGTCACTGAAGTACCTTCTTTCATAGCTCTTCTGAGAGCTCAGACCTGGAGCCTTAGGCTCCCCAGAACTTGTGTGAAAACTGAGACGGCATGGGGGGATGTCGTTTTACAGCAGCCTGTGTATATGAATCCTGCACACCCTTCTTCTGCCCCATAAGCCCATGATTTTCAAGCTGTATAATCAGCTTCTGCCTCCAGATGGTAAGAATTTGTTGTGCATCTGCAGAGGATTGCCCTGATTTTCTCTTGTTAGCCTGTTAATGAGAGGACAGTAAGCCATAACCTAGCTCTTTTCTTCTTTTGCATACTGGTTTATAAGCACCTTTGAGAGGAGCGTTTTTCTGTGTGAGTGGGAAGAGGACACTACATGAGGCTCTTCACCTATGATGGCAAAGATGCAGCTTCACCAGTGCCACCCTGGCAGTTCACCTGGGAGACCCTCCCCATCATTACAGCACAGCTACTGCCTTCATGACAGTGGCAACATGTGGACACGGCAGTCAGTGAAGGGAATTACCGGTTCCTGCAAGAGCACCCTTTCCAGATGTGCACTGTGGCCTGCACCAAGCTGGCTACAGCTGCTGTGGCCTCATCCTTTGGGGAACAGGCAGCCTATGACCAGCATTACGGTGGCCACTGAGTCCATGCTCACCCATATGGCTGTCAGTAATGTGGGTGGGCAAAGCATCTCTGCACACATCGGGATACCAGTTGGGCTTCTGGGAGGGTCCCACAAAGCATTCATCCTTCAGCCAAAGTGGTTGGAAAGAAGGAAATATTTTCATCATTCAGGAGCAAAAACAGCACTGTGGCAGAGGGCAAACTATGCAACTTCACGCCAAAACAGCCTTATTCTGGCTAGTTTTTTTAATTAAAAAAAAAATTGCAAAATATGTCTCTGGGAAGATGGAAATTATTGAAAAGGCAAAACCCCCCATAACCTCCAAAACCATACCATTTCTATTTTTCATTGACAAGCTGTTTAAAAGGCCTGTTAAGAAAAGATAATCTCATGCTATCTAGGCAAAAAAAAAAAATAGCTTTCTTTCAACCAGGTGTAGCAATGCCTAAGCTTTTCTTTGAAAAAAAACCTTCTCTTTAATTTTCCACATGTGTGACATTAATTTCTTCTTCTCCTTCTCCTCTTTTTTTTTTTTTTTTTTTTTTTTCCCTTCCTTCTGCTCCTGGAACCTCTCTTTCTGCTCTTTAACCCTTTACCAGGTGGTAAGTGCAGTCATTCTAGTGTTTTGCTGTAAAGCACTGGCATTTGACTTGTTTTTTTTCTGTCTTAAAAAAAAACAAAACAAAACAAAAACATTTTCATTTGTCTGGATTCCCAAGTAGTTGTGCAGTGTCCTTCACTACCTAGCAACCCATTAGCAGCTGTTACACAGTGACATGAAATTTTCCTTGTGTAAAGAAACCTCCCTAAACAGCAGTGTACCTGGGATTGTGGGACTTGATCTCTCACCCCTTTTTATTAAGGATGCTGTCATGATGCTGCATACCATTTTTTATTTTATTTCCTTTTTTAATATATTGCATTATGTTTTGGTGTTTTGCTGTGCATTGCCATGGAGTAGGAAATTCCTTCTGTTAGGATGATTGATGATTGGATGTCGTTGATGTGTCTCTGTAAAGGGATATTTTCCTACAGCAGCACCTCTAGAATGGGCTAGGTCACCATTCCAGCAGTGGCCACCACATATACGGAGTCCAAGTTTAAAAGTAATGACATTGGCACTACAACATGGAATTTGCACGTGGCCATGCTGGAGTTTTGATTTAGTACTGTTGATTTTCTATGGTAGATGTACTCAGACACTGTTTCCAAGCTGTCTTCAAACTGAGACACTCCATCTTCATAGAATCACCTGGAGCTGGTGTTTAAAAGCCAGCAGTCACCTACAAACATTACAAACCTTGTAGTATAATTCAGGGTGTTGCAACTCTCTACCTTGCTCTGCTGGTGCTGTTTGAGCTGCAAGAGACCTTATGACAAAGGCCTCCGTCCCTGCCCTTTGGAAACAAAGCTTTGGGATGTCTCCTTTTAGACCATCAGTGTTATCATTCATTGTTCAGGACTGCTGGCCATGGAAGGACGGTGGCAAAGCAACACCTCTGCGTCACTGGCACTCACAGCTGTATTTGGGTACTTCAGTGAAACCTAGCTTCTGGAGTCACATCACAATGTGGCAAGCTTTAGCATTTGTTCAAAAAGTGGGCCAGCAATTCTCATGGCCACTGAACAAAGCTTGAAATGGAATCCCATGAAGCTCCTAACTCCACATGCCCATTGCTGTTAATCTTACAAACTCTGTGGTAGAATCACAGAATCGTAGAAAGTTTTGTGCTGGAAGGGACCACTAAAGGTCATCTAGACCAGCCCCTCTGCTATAAGCAGGGACATCTCCAACTAAGTCAAGCTACTCAGAGCCTCATCAAGCCTCAGTTTGAATGTCTCCAGGGATGGGACCTCCACCGCCTCTCCGGGCAACCTGTTCCTGTGATCTATCACCCTCATATTAAAGAACTTTTTCCTAACATTTAACCTAAATCTACCATTAGCATTTGTCCTGTCACTAGAAACCCTTGTGAACAGATCCTCCTCTGCTTTCTTATAGGCCTGTTTCAGGTGCTGGAAGGTGATATTGTCCTTAAGCCAGGCTTATGGTTTGGTGTTAGCAATACTGCTGTGTTAGTAGCACTGGCAGACCTGAAGAACTCTTAGATATGAGCAGCCACTGGCGTCACCTGCAGAGTGACATCAGTCTACCCATAGCTGCTTTGTGTGGCCCAGAGGTCACTGGTATCCAGAGTCTGCAGGTTGGTTCCCCACAGTGGGGTGATTTTGTTTCTGCAGCCTAAAACACAACCTCTACCAGATCTCTCGGTCCAGTCACACCAAAGGTCCTCACTTCATGCTGAAGCATAAATGCAGTTTTTTTGTTTTTTCCCCTGAAGATGAGTATTAGTGAGAGATCAAAAGAGCCTGTGTAAAAGCAGGGCCTACTAGGGGCATAGTGCTCATACTGGGAACCTCACAGGAGATATACCCCACTCACCACTTCGCAGCTGAAATGTCTGGTGACTGGGGCCTCCAGCCCAGAAGCTCAAATGGTTTAACACCTCACAGGGGGGATGCTGGGAAGAGCTCCCCAGATAGCCACTATTCATGGCCTCTGGCCCCCAGAAACCTGCTTCTCATCCTTGGACTTTCACATGGCACCTGCTTTTCCCACTGAGCACACAGCTCCATACTCACCTGCTCAGCCTCCTAATGCTGGGACTTGACAACAGCCAAGAAATGCCAGGCCATAGCCCAGAGTCTTCTGGAGGTGGACAGAGCCATCCTGGACACTTCAAGAGATGGTCTGCAATCATCTTGAGTGAGTCAGCTCAGCAGCAGATGACTAAGGCCCAGAAAAGGCAGGAACCCAACTGTAAACAGGGGAGTTACACTTAATTGAAACAATGGGACAGCAGAATCAGCCCTGTTTACTCACCATTAGACCAACCTCATCCTTTGTAATTTATTATGCACTCCAACCACCGTTGTGCACCTTGTCTCTGCGTCTCTCCATTCTCATACACTGTATACACCCATCCATCTCTGTCCACCCATTCCCCTACTGTCTCTACCCATTCATCTAACTATCCATCCATTTTTATCTATTTAATCCACTGTTCCCTCACTCACTCTCCACCCAAGCACACCATGGTGCTAGCTGACTGTGACTTCTTCTGCTTTGCTGCATGGCCTGGAGAAAAAATGGGATGAAGTTCATATCTGCCAGGAGGACATATCAACAATAGTAGCTACATGTGGCTGTGAAGCAGCCTCACTGGCTTGTTCTATTGCTGCTAGGTGATTCATGCACCACAAAAAAGCAAAAATCTCTGTATCTGGCCAGAAATGAATATGCAACTCCCTGTCCAGAGGTTCGAATTCAAAAAGGGACATATAACATCTGAACACTCAGCTTTTAGGTGTGCAGATACATTTCCCTGAAGATTATGTCCATATGTTACGATCTTACTGAATCAGGAAGATGGCCTACTATGTAAGAGGGCACCCCACTGCACCCTCGCAGTGGCTCTTTCCAGAGTTCTTCCTGGGATTCCCCATATTTGCTAAATACTGTTGCAGTGTGTGAAAGCTCAGGCAGTCCCTGGTGCTCATGCCGTTGCTAATGAGGCATTTATGATCACAGAACTCTTTCCTTGAAAGGGTTGATCAGACAAAACTGCAAAGTCCCTGTCCTGGAGCAGTTTTTTATTTTCTCTGTTCAGCTAGTGTTGATGTAGAGGCACTTACAGGGCTTTGCATCTGAGCAGTTGGCTCTAGCCCATTTCTCAAAGTGGCAAGCTGAATTGCTAAGATATTATTGACTTGAGGTTGCATCTGAGCCGGCCCAGCATCCTGTGCTCAGTTCTGCTGACAGCCAGCCTGAACCCTGCCCCTGACTCTGCAGTGCTTCCACAACCTTGTCCAACCAGCTGATTCACACTATTAGCATCCTTGCTGGAGCTTTCTCATCACCTCTCTTGGTTGTCAGAGAGTAGGTGTGTTTTCATCCTTCTCAATTGGTCAGCAATTAGCTGCTTTTCCACAGTGTGACTGTTGCCTTTGAGCTCACAGATCTTCTTGAGCAAGAGGCAGCTCACAGAATAAAAAAGAAGCCATCCCTTGGGATTAATACATGTCCTGGATGCAATACATGAGAAAACTAATGGGTCTGTGAGGCTTGTGCCACTTTCTCTCACTGCATGCACTCACTTCCTAAAACTTGGAAGTCCGTGCAAGTCCACTTGGCCTCTGCATCCCTTGCTGGATCCTTGCAAAAAGATCTCTGCAGGCAGAAAGACCTGTGCTATGCACTCTGCTTTCCTGCCTCAAGGCAGGGATAGAAGTCATCATCTACTCTGCCCCAAGCAATGTGGTGCCTCAAGGTCTCAGGCAACAAACCTACTCAGCTCCAAAATCCCTCTTTTTCTCACAGAGGTTCATTTCTGCATTTTTATTGTGCTCTCTCACCCTCCTTCCTTTCTCCATCCACACATCATTGTGAAACTTGTTTGGTTTTTGTTGTTGTTTTTTTTTTCTTTTCCTTTACAACAAGTCCATAAATCTCTCTTCCTTCTGCTGGGAAAAAAAAAAATCCCTAGCAGCATGTCTACAGGTTTCCTTGCATCTCTTCTGCAGTGAGGGTACCCACTGAGCACCAGCTGGCAGTAGCCTCTAGTTACAGAGTCCAGTTATGGACATTAGTTGTGGGGCTTCCCTATGGGAAAGCAAGGATGGCTGGGCCTCTTGCTGTGCTGCACTGTGTCCCCAGGCACTGCGGATTTGCTACAGTGCTTTATTCCTCTTTTTATTGATTTCTCAAGGGTGCCAGCTCATCTGGAGGCGTAATTGAGAGTATCCGACAGAGCTGCTCAAAGGCAGTGCTGGCTCCCTGCGTAGCCAGAGAGTATGTCTGCATGCACAGATGGCAAGTGAGGGGGCACTGTGGGCTAGTCCCAAGGCCTCACTCTTTGCTGATGCTTTCACTTGAGGAGAAACCTCCAGGTGACCTGCTGTGCATATTTGTGGGCAGGGGTTTCTGGTGTCAGTCTCTTTCAAGAGGTTATTTTCTTGCACTGAGGACACATCTCACTCTGCAGGGCACCTCCTATATCATCTGCTGCAGCTTTGTCCCCTCCCAGTGACCCACTGAGGCCCTTCTTCCTCATTGAGTCCCTAAGCAGAGTCCTGCCTCTGCTGTTCTTGGCCATCCTCCCAAGTCCTCCTGGATGGCCTCTCTGTTGAAACCTTGATACAAAGCCCACACAGTGTCAGGATCTGTTGAAAGCCTTAGGATCAGTGGTGGCAGCTCATGCGCCCCTCTCACTAACTCTATTGTCCACTCCTTGTGATGTCACCATGGGGTCTGTCCTTAGGGACTTCAGGGTGTGAAGACATGGCACGGGAGACACCTGTGTGTCCCTTTGTGCTACCAGACTCCTTTTTTGGAAACCTACAATTCCTACTGATACCCCACACCTCTGCTCCAGTCCTTTGGAGAGGTTGGATTGCAGGAGGAGGCTTGGAAAAAGGCTGCCTGCCTCCAGCCCCTTGACCTTTGCAGGCTGAAAAAGTCCCCGGCTGTCATTGTGAGAGGTGAAGGGTTTGGGAAGACAGACTGATATCACGGATGCCGGATGACCTGGCGACATCAACACTGAGTAGTCTTGGCATCAGTTGATGATGAGTGTGTTCCAGGTTGTGAGATTCAGCCAGTGTACTTGTATTGCCACAGCCCTCAAGTTCACTCCCTACCAGTAGATGGATCACCTCTGTTCATAATAGCAACCGAAAATGGTTGCTCCAGAGGACAAAGGAGTGCCCCCCTCATGCCCGCCTTTGTACTAGCTTTATAGCTGAGCTGATGTCACACGGTCTGGAATATCCCTTTGGTCAGTTCAGGTCAGCTGTTCTGGTTATGTTCCTCTCAGACTCCTGCCCCCCCATCCCACTGTAATTACATTGGGTACTGTTAGAAAGAGCCTTGGTGCTGTGCGAGCACTGCTCAGTGGTGCTCACAACATGGGTGTTACCAACACCCTTCTAACTCCCAACACAGAAGCCCTGCACCAGGAGGGCTGCAATGGGAAAATCAGCTCAGCCAGACCTGATACAGAAGGACAAGTCATTGCCCAATGCTGACTGTCTTCAGATGCTAGCACTGCACGTTCACACAATTTCACACATGGCAGTCTTGGACACTGATCCAACAGTTACAATTTCAAGGCAGTCTGAGTGCTTGTCTTGAGTTTTGAGACACACGCCCTGCACCAGAACCAACCTAGAGACCAGAGGTGAGATCACTTAGAAAGTTTAGAGCAACAGCTGGAGAAGTTATTTTCATGTGTTTTATTTTCACCACTGGGGGGAAAAAAAAAAAAAAAAAAAAAAGAAGTAATTTGAAATATTCAAGTGCTGGCATAAGCAGATAAAATAAAGAGCCCAATAGAAAATTAGAGCAGAAGACTTTTCATCTTTCAGCTCTTGGAGCAAACTCAGGTTTCCCCACCACATATAAAATTGTTCTTTAGAAGACACTCTGATTAAAGTAAAAACTCTCTAGAAGTTTAATGAGCCTTTGCCTTCGCTTTACAGAATATTGGCAAAAAGATGTCGTGTCAACAGTTCATAGCAAACCTGGATGGACTGAACGATGGGAAGGACTTTGCAAAGGATTTGTTGAAGGTAACGTGATATAAATAGACAGTGGGATATTGTCATTATTCCTGTAGTGCCCCCTCATCCTGCTGGGACACTCTGAGCCCTTGCACCAGCATTTTTCAATGCATAATTGTTTCATTAGAATAACTGTAACCCACGTGTGTAGACTCTGCTAACTTGCATTGAGCCACCAGAGGTCTATTCCCTGGTGGTGTTTCATCAAGATTTGTGGCATATCTGCCCTCAGAACATACCAAGGGGTCCTCTCCCATGCAGTAGCTCTGTGATGCTCCAGACAATGCACAGAGCAAGACACCCCCACACCCCAACGTGTGACCCTCTGGCACTGACACTTTTCTCTGCCTTCACTTCCATGTAATTGGATGTAGTCCTCCAACTCCACTATTTCAGTACAATGGGATTTTGGTTAAACATCTCATAGTGAATACTTTCTCTTTCTGCGTGGTTTAGCACCACAACTGTTGTCTGCATCTGCTGCAGGTCCAGCAACCCGACCTGGATTTTGCTGTACGGAAGGAAGTTAAAATGTCCAGTGCCACAACAAGACTCTCACATTGTGCCTTAGACGACACCCCCAGCTCCCAGCAGATGTCACCCTACCCCACCCCTCAGGACGGTCAGGATGACCCATATTCTCCTTTCCTTGCCCATTCCTACTTCCTAGTGCCCCAGGGAAGCTACTGGAATATTGCACAGGAGGAAATGGAAAAGCTGATCCTCGAGGTCATTCATCCCTCCTTATGGCAACATTCAAGCTTCCACTGTCCCTTTCCCCTAGTCGAGACACTGTAGATGTCTTCTATCATTTTTGTGGTGGCCAGAATTTGCTCAGGATTAGGTGCAGCATGCAGGGTTAGTCCTGGCTCCTGAGCAAGACTGGCTGCCAAACCCCTCTGCTACTGACGTGTCTAGTCCAATACCTAGGGTGATAAATAGAAACGGGTCTAGCAGGACAGCAGTTGACTCGCTCACTGCTGAGTACTTCTCCAGGAGAGTTCAGCAAGGAAGGTATCTCTCTAAGAACACAGACAGGGTGTGGAGGAGATGGTCTCCACAGCCCAGACATGTCTTTCATAAGAGACACTGCTTAACACCATGTTCTTGTTTCAGACACTGTATAACTCCATCAAGAATGAGAAGCTAGAGTGGGCCATGTAAGTATGTGCTAAGCCTTTGAGAGCTACTGCATCTTTCAAAGTAGCTGACAGGTCTTGAGTAATGTTTTTAGCACCAGAAGCTCCCAGAACATTTCCTGCCAAGCCCTTAAGCACTGAAGTCCCTCCTGTAGGCAAGCTGGGTTTATTTATGGCTTAGACACAAAACCAGATGGGGAGGCTGGTGGCAGTCTATAGACAAAGGGTCCACAGGAACGATCTAAAGAAAGGGAACGTCCTCTTTGTTTACTATTGCACCCATAAAATGCTGGTCTCTCTCCAGGTGCTTCAGAGATCTTTGAACAAGAAACTCAAGATCTGGGTTTAATTTGCTCCCTGAGACTTTCCATCTCTTCCACATAGTTTCTTCTGGAAATAGTATTAGAGAATCACTCAGGGAGGAAGTGACCTTGTGAGATCTCCAGTCAAGGTTCCTCCTTAAAGTATGGTCAACATTGAACTCAGACCAGGATGCTCAGGATTTTGTTCCGTTTGATCCTGACAGCATCCAATGATAGAGAACTTACAGCCCCTCTGGATCCATGAATCAATGCTTAATTTTTCTGAGAGTGTAATTTTCTTATCTGTTTGAAACCACTGTTGTTTTAACTTATGACAATTGTCTCTTGTCCTCCTGCCATGAACCATAGTGAAGAGCCCGGCTTTGTCATCTCAGTAACTTTGGAAGGCTGTCACAAGATCCCTCGAAGACATTTATTCTCTAGGTTGAACACACCCAGTTCCCTTAGTCACTTCTTACATTGCAGGTTCTCCAGCTCCCAGGCATCTTGGAGGCCTCTGAGAACTCTCTCCACCTTGTTAATGGCTTTTTCTGTGTTGGGAGCCCAATCATGTTTGCTCTACTAAGACATAATGCAATAAGTGCAGAGTAAAGGAGAATGATAAATTCTCTTAGCCTCCTCACTGTGCCGCTGTTACACAGCCCAGAATGCTCTTGTCCTCTCTTTCTTCCAGGACACACTGGCTGGCTCCCATTTATCTTGCTGTTCACCAGCAGCCCCAGGGCCTTTTCCACAGAGCTGCTCCCCAGCCAGTCAGCCCCAGCTGACCCTTCTGCAGGACCACCCCACCCCAGTGCAGTACTGGGTGCTGCATCTAGTGAGGCTCCTGTCCCTCTAAGCAGTAGTCCTGTACCTCTCATTTTTATGTCATCCACAAACTCGATGACACGTGCTCTATGTCCTCCAGATCATTATTTGTTACCCTGAAACAAATCTGGGAAGAGCTAGCATGATGGACTCCATGACAGGTTCATGCAGCATCTTCCTCAGCCCTTCTACCGCTCTGCTACCCATTCCTCCCACCCAAAGCACAGGCCAGGACCCTCAGCAAGGGGTGCACAGCGCTCCTGAGCCCCAACACCTGCCCACCGCTGCCATGAGGAAGCCAGCGACAGACTTGGGCCCTTAGGCTAACACAGTGGACATTCCTCTCCTCTCCTCTCCTCTCCTCTCCGAGGATCTAGGACTGTGAAGGACCCGCTGCACCATTAGCCCCATCACCTGCCCTTCTCCTCATATTGTCCTGGTTAGAAAAGTGTCTGGACACCGTTTTATCCTACCTCCTTCCCCAGCTACCTGGGTCAAGCTTTTTCAGAGCTCCTTATGGGCCAGTGTCTCCTTCGGGAGGGATACAGCCAGCTGGTGGCTGCGGAAGGGCACCAGTTTCTTAGCGGGTCACGTAACATGGATTTCGCTTTCCAGATAATCTTGTGTGGCATCGGTGTGAGGGAAGCAGCAGCGCGGGCTCTGCAGCAGAGGCCAGGCTGTGAGTGGATTAGTCACGAGAGGGAGCTCTGCAGCTCCACAGAAGGTGCTGGTGGGACAGTTTATGTAAGGGTTCCGCAGACGGACCTCTGCCTGTAAGGGTGCAGCAGAAGGACCTCTGCTCGCTGGATGAGGGCAGTGGTTACACAATGCCTGCCAGCACGGGCTCCCTGGCTCTTCCTAGGGCTGTCAGCCTTCTGGGGTCCTGCTGTGGTGGTGCAGCTCCAGTCAGCAGCATCTCTCTCACCTCCTGCCCTCTTTCACCCACCCGACTTGTATCCTCACAACCTCTCGTTCACTCCACACCAGCCTGGGACCTGCCTTGCTTCAACCCGCAACCTTGCTGGGCTGCAGAAAGACAGGCTGTGACAGAAGAGACCTCTCAGGTCCTCTGCTGTGGGACAGATGCTCCCTGACATGGGGTACCTGTTTTTCTTTCAGAGCCCCTTTCACTGAGTCCCAACCTTACACAGGCAAGACCTTCTTCTCCCTGCCTGCCTCCTGTCTTTGTCCATCCCAAGGAATGAAATGCCCTTGCTCACAATGTCCAACCAGACAGACAGGCAGATGACCATCCTCACAGCAGCATGCAGGAGCTCAGAGGGGTCTCTCTGGTGCAGCTCAGAGAAGAGAGCCCCCACTAACTCCCCACCCAGGCCTCGTGTCTGGGCTGTGCCTCAGCCCCAGGACTCCTGTGGGTGCTGAGGGCTGAAAAACCATCCTTCTCTTCCAAGTGGTGTCTAATGCTTTGGCTATCTGAAGTAAGCAGGAGGGGTAGTGTGGTTGTTTACTGCTGACATCTCAGGTAGTGGATTCACCCCTGAATCACTCCTCAGCTGAGGTTTGGTCCCAGTCTAATCTGCAACCTGAGGTGACCACTCATTCTATTTAGACATTGACAGGATTCTCTGTAGCACACAGGGCAGAAACTCCCTGTTTGCTCTCTTTCCTTGATGTCCTATTTCCTTAATGTGGGAAATATCACTTCTCATACAAGTTCTAGTTTCCATGCACCAGAGCAGGTTTTACTCCAAATATGAAGAGGCAGGCTTAGTGGAGTCTGTGGACACTTCCCTAAGCTGCTCAGTCCTTGCTGTTCAGGGTCCAGGATGAGGAGACCTGTGTGGAGAAGGAGTTTTCATGGAAATGACTAGCATTTCCTGCTCTCTGCTGGCCCACCCTAAGGACATGAATTGGGAGCTGATGTATAACCTATTACAGGGTATGTGGTTTTATGATCAAGTGGGCCATCTCTAACATCTGCAGAACATTGGTTTCTCAGACGTGCAGAGGACATTCTTCAAGCTCCTTCAGTACCTAGGAGGCCCCAGGTCCTGCCTCTCAGAGGCTGAGAAATCCTAGTGATACTTGGTCTTCAGCTAAAGACCTCCTTAATCTCAGATTTTAGGCCACAGAACTAGAGACTCTCCCTGCAAAGTGGTTGTAGTCCTCAGCAATGGTGTGTCTGCAGTTTTCTGGTGTTCAGACAAGCATCCATTCCCTTATCTGTTTTGAGTAACCGCACAGTTATTATGAGAGTTACCTGTCACCTGTGTTCCTCTCAGCCATGTCCAGATCACCACCATTGGCACACTCTGCATGTTATAGTCCCTACTTCTCCTTCCATTTTCTTTCTCAGACTAATCTTGTATTAAATTGCTTTAAAACCAAAACAAGTAGGGCAAACTTTGACTCAACGCACACTTCCTCCACTCAATCTCTTCTCTGACTTTGTTTCGAAGTGATGAGGACGAGTTGAGGAAATCTCTCTCAGAGCTGGTAGACGACAAATTCGGAGCCAGTGCGAAGAAAGTGACAAGGATTGTTGACAGCAGCAACCCCTTCCTGGACATCCCCCAAGCACTGAATGCAGTGACCTACAAGCATGGTGTCCTCACGCGTAAAACCCACGCAGACATGGATGGGAAGAGAAGTACGTGTTAAGGGGATGGGATGAGATGTGTCCTAGGCAGTACCAGAGCCTTGCTCTATCTGCTGAAGACTTTTCCTCACCACATCCCAGGGAATACAAGAGAGATCCCCAGATCCATGAGTGCTAGGGCACAGGGACAAGATGATTTTTTTGATGCATTTGTAGACATGAATGTTCTCAGGAGGCCTCAGAGTCTTCCCTTCTCACTGCCAAGGAACCTAACAATGCCTGTCTCACACAGATAGACCTGGTCTTCCATGCTGTTCATGGGCATGATCCTGAATCCCACACTCTGAGCGGTGGGGTGAGGCTAGTTCCACAGTAGTTGTCCACTCCAGCCCTGACCTTGGGGACAGTCTGGTATTCGAAGTTTTACTCCTGTCTATATTCTTTCATGTGCTGGAAACAGCTGCCATGTGCTGGCTGGGCAACAGGCTGCCTCATAGTTCTGCTGTCAGCATATGGGATTACAGGAAAGGTAAAGGAAAATATATCTGGGAACTGTGATAGAGATTAATGAAACCTTGGACAATGCCTCTTGTTAATTGATATGATTGACCCAGTCATTGCAGCCAATTAAAAGTCTTGAGTAGACATTACCACCAAGGATCTCTCTTTCTTCCAGCAGTTTTGTAATAGCCCATGCCTAGAGGATCTGCTGTCTTGTAGTGATGCAGGTGGCTCCTCTCACCTCCCGCCCCTCTCTAGCTTCTAGCAAGCTCTCTGTCCTCAAGTCCATTAAGACAGCTGGTGGTAATGCACCCTCCTCAGTGGAACAGAAGCTGCTTTATCCAGAGTATGTCTACCAAACTTATCTGAAGCAGAGGAGCTCAAGGAATGTCTCTGCTGCTCAAGCATTTAGTCCAAGGAATATGAACCCAGATTTGGAGGATCACAGAATTCCTGCATGTATTCACTTGTGTATTCTCTGTACCAGTTCATCTCTGGGTCTGGCCTGCTTGTGTTTCTCTTGGGAGGCTGCATCTTCTAGCCCATGTCTCTAAACACACGTCCCTGCAGACAAACTGCTCATAATCAATAGCCTGGAGGTGTATGAGGTCTGGGCATCAGTGCATGCCTGTGGTGGGTCAGGAGAAGGGTTGGTATTGACAGATATGTGATGATCAAGCAGCCCTGGCAGAAGCATTCATGTATAATTAAATGTTCTTCCTTTTTAGCTCCCAGAGGAAGGAGGGGTTGGAAGAAATTTTATGCTGTGCTTAAAGGGACCGTCCTTTATTTACAAAAGGTAATCATGGTGGGCTATCCCATTTGCTGTTTCATAGTGTCTCCAAAGCAGTCATGCTGTCTTAAGTAGAAGACTTATAGATGCAAGTGGAGCTGAATCCATGTCCTAATGAATACAGCGCTCCTCCAGTATACAGAACTGGAGTGTGCTGTCATCTCTGGTGGTGGTGCCCATGCTAAGAGCACAGATCTGATTCTGAGCAGCTTTACTGAGTCTGGTATGTACCATACTTAAAGTTTCTCTTCTCCTTCAGGACCTTGCTGTCAACTTCCATGGGTTGCCAGGAGACACTTCCTGCCTCTCTTCATCTCTGTTTGTTCTGTAGCAACCTCTAGTCCACACAAGCATAAATCCTAGGTCTTCATGGGAGCCAAAGTCACCATGGCAGAGCTTCCCTGCACGCTATGGCATTCAGCTCTCTGCTTTTCAAGACATTTGGATGCTAGGAGGTTTTCCACAGTTAGTCTTTTCTGTGGGAAAATCCAAGGAGCCTGTGTAGGATCTCACTTGAATGGCAGCATAAGCCAGCTAGAGATGCCAAATGTCTGCTCATCATGCAATGGCATAACCCACTGAACTAGGTCTGAACTACCTTAGCAGCACACGCTGTGCAGTAACCCACTGAACTCACCCTGCTGGAACAGCACTCCCTATGGGTAGATGTTCCTGTGTATCGCAGTATTATCTCCAAAGCAATGAGAGTAAACAAACATTAGATTATATAAGAAAGGCAGGAAGATCCTCAGGGCAGCACGGAATTATGATTCAGACTTCATAGCACACCCCAATGATTCTTATGTTTTGCCAGATCCTATGGCACATGTCACAAAGCCAACAGAAATCTGGCAGGAGCTGAGCGTAATTTGCAGTATGAGTTGCTCTTAGCCAAGTGGCATTTTTGCAGCCTTGCCACTCTCTCTTGGAGCTGAGAGAAACTGCAATGTATGGGAGAGCCCAGAGCTTCTCCAGCCCTCTAAGTCTGGTGTTCTTCAAGCTAGTGGCACTCTTCTTACATCTCTAGTTTTGTTGTCTCATTACAAATCTCCACATGGAGTCCACCAAAGAGGTCCTCATGCTGACTGTGGGTGGTGCAAGAGGATTTAACTTGTGCAGAGCTACTGTCAACATTTAATTTTGGGGGGGAAAAAACCCAAACAATTTCATCAAAATCACAGGAACCAGTTGGATCTAAATTAATTTTTCCTCAACAGCTTGTCTTTGTGTCCAAGTGGAGAGCAGTGACAAGTAGTATTCCTCAGGGATACTGGGACCAGTGCTATTTTACATCTTTGTCAGCAACATGGACAGTGAGACTGAGTGCACCCTCAGCAAGTTTGCCGATGACACAAAGCTGAGTGGTGTGTTTGACATGTTGGTGGGAATGGATGCCACCCAGAGGGACATGGACAGGCTTGAGAGTTGAGGCTGTGTGAATATCACAAAGTTTCACAAGGCCAAGTGCAAGGTTCAGCACCTGGCTCAGGGCAACGCCCAGAATCAACACAGGATGGAGGATGCAGAGATGAAGAGCAGCCCTGTGGAGAAAGACTTGGGGGTCTGGTGGATGAAAAGCTGGACATGACCCAGCTACGTGCATTCGCAGCCCAGAAGCCAATTGCATCCTGGGCTGCACCAAAACCAGCATGGCCAGTAGGTCAAGGGAGCACCTCTGTTCTGTTCTGGTAAGACCCCACCTGGAGTACTGTTTCCAGCTTGGGCATCCTCAGCACAGGGGAGACAGGGATTTGTTGGAGTGGAGTCAGAGGACGCCACAAAGATGATCAGGGAGCTGGAACACCTCAACTATTAGGACAGGCTGAGAGAGCTGTGGTTGTTTAGCATGGAGAAGATGAGGCTCCAGGGAGACCATCCAGTCCTTAAAAGAGGTCTACATGAAATATGAGGAGGGATGCTTTATCAATGACTGTGGTGATGGGATGAGTGGTAAGGGTTTAAAACTTAGAAAAGGCAGATTCATATTATATATTAGGAAGAAATTCTTTATTGTGAGGGTGATGAGACACTGACATATGTTGCCCAGGGAAGTTGTGGATATCCCATCCCTGGAAGTGTTGAAGGCAAGTGTTGAGCAACCTGGTCTAGTGGAAAGTGTCCCAGCTCATGGCAGAGGGGTTGGAACTAGATAATCTTTAAGGTCTTCTCCAACCTAAACCATTCTATGATTCTGTGACTTCTAGGACATGTTTCTTGGGATGAGTCTGTTGAGGGGGTATGAAATAAACTTTCAAGACAGATTTTTTTTCCCATGCTAAACCAAAATCCAGTTTACTGAAGATTTTCTTGAGTGCTTGGACAGCACTAGAAGGAGCTGTGAAGCCAGCACTGAATTATTGCTGCTGATGGGGCAGAGGGATAGAATTTTCTTTGCTGTACAAGGCTAGCGGCATTAATCATCTAGACTGTTATATTAAAATAGTTTTTTATATTAGTATTGGGTGTTTAGAATTTAAGTGAGGATGAGACTGATGTAGCAATTAGAAGACCCATGTTCTTATCTAGATGACTTTCAGGAGCAAATGATTAATAAGAGACTGAGGACTTTCTTTATGCAGAAGGACTGAAGAAGAAAAACACCTAAGATTTGGCTAAGTTATGAAAGTGATAAATAACAGCCATGACTGATGTGTAATTAGCAGGAAGGACTGGAATTGCCAAGGATGTCCCAAGGAAGTAACATTCGGGACAACAACAAAAAATTAACCTGATGAATGTTTTGGCAAAGTGTTTGCATAAAGAGGTGTTTCTTACTCAGGAGCTGCTATCAGACTGTGTATGGTCCTCTTCAGAGGATTCCTTGGGCTGGGTTTGGCTGTAGACAATGTCTATCAGGCTTGCAGAGACAGGAGAGAAGGATGAGACCATAAAGACAAAGTCCTTGCCCTGCCATTTCCAAACATGTCCACCATCACAATAGAGAGTGGATAAACATCCACCTGCCCTGTAGATTCTCATTGAGATTTCTTGCCTGTGGGGTTGTTTGCACAATATAAGAAGGAAATGGTGTGCCAGCTTCCCAAGCTCTCAGAGGAAGATGCCTGCAGATAAAAATAAGGTAGAACCTGGCTTGAGCACAATCACTGGGAAAAAATTTCTGATGTGAAGACAGAGGAGAGATTATATGCTTCCAGACTCACCTGACACTGTGGAGCACAGGTTGGGCCTGTTCCAGTTTTTCACTCATACCAAACCAAGGATCTATGCTTTAGTAGGATATTTCAATAAGTTTAATAGGAAACTACTCAATTTGGCTTTGGGGAGCAGTACGAGAGAGAGAGAGAGAGAGAGAGAGAGGAAAGGAGGGTGGAGGGGAAGGAGAGCCTGAGGACATAGATGTATAGAAAAGAGGAACAGTCAGATATGGGGTCAGGTGGGTGATAGGCAGAAGAATGGGTGGCTTGACAGGTAGAAGTCAGTCTGTTAGAAGCAATTCAGGCAGCAGTCATAATCCTGCTGATGTAGAGATGTCACACGTCATTGACTTGCCAGTGTTAATTGCTGGATTAGCGTGTTCTAGCACAGTCTACTGAAGCAATTGCTTGATCCTCTAAAGGAATGCAGCAACATCTTGAGGAAGAAATACAGGCTTGGGAGCAGGGTGCAGGTTTCCTGCACTCTGATCTGCACTGGGCACTCGCTCATTCCATGGCCTTTGGCAAGATCACCTCTGTGAAATGGGGGTAAAATAACTCTTAATCAACACACATAGAGGGGTGCTGAGAGGAATGATGGAGAACTATAGAGCATGAGGTGGTTTTATATGGAAGTACTGGAAAGGGTGCAGGTCTTCCTGTAGGGCCTGCCCTTGCAGCCAGTCACTGTGAAGGAGTTCCCAGCACAGCCCTGAGCTGTGGATACTGTCACATGCAGGCAGACCCTTGCCATGGTACCGCTACTTGGAGTGTCAAGTTGATGACCAGACTGCAAAGGGCATAGTGGTTTGTTTTCCTCATTAAATGGTTTATTTAGACTGGCAGATGTGGCCTGAAGAAAAGGAAAAAGAGGAAAGGTGCAAAGCACAAGCAATCCAGGGTGGTCCAGGATGCATAGACAACAACTTCCTCCTCCAAATGGTAGAGGAACCAACAGAAAGAGTGCCATGCTGGACCTCGTATTCACCAACAAGGAAGGGCTGGTGACCAATGTCAAGCTCAGGAATAACCTTGGCTGCAGTGACCATGAGGTGCTAGAATTTAAGATCCTCAGGGCAACTAAGAGCATGTATTCCAAGCTTACAACCCAGGACTTTAGGCATGTAGATTTTGATTGCTTCAGGGATCTGCTGGCCAAAGTACCGTTAGATGAACCCCTAGAGGGAAGAGGGGCCCAGAACAGCTGGTCAGTATTCAAGGATCACCTTCTGTGTGTCCAGGAGCAATGTGTACCAACAAAGAAGAAGGTAGAAAAGAATGGTAGGAAACCTGCCTGGTTGAGCAGGGAGCTGCTGATCACGCTCACACACAAAAAGAAGCTAAAGCTTCTTTTTAGGAAGAAAAACATTAGAGTGGAAGAAAGGACAGCTAGAATGGGGGACACATAAGGAAGCAGTCCGAGCAGCAGAAGATGTGGTTAGAAAAGCTAAAGCTCAGTTTGAATTAAATCTAGCCAGGGAGATCAAGAGGAATAGTAAAAATTTCTACAGGTACATTAGTGGTAAGACTAGGGAAGCTGTGGACCCCCTTCGAAAGGAAATGGGTGAGCTGGTTATAAGTGACATGGAGAAGGCCAAGGTTCTCAATGACTTCTTTACCTCAGCTTTCACTGGCAAGGGCTCAAACCATACTCCCAGAGTCACAGAAGACAATGGCAGGGTCTTGAAGGAAGAGCTGCCCGTTGTAAGTGAAGATCAGGTTTGAGACCACCTGATGAACCTGAAAGTGTGTAAGTCCATGGGACCTGATGGGATACACCCACGGGTACTGGGGGAACTGGC